TGCTTCTTTGGCTCAAAATTCTTTTCCCTCTTCTTTCCCCTTCCCTCCTAGTTCCCTTCACAAAAAATAGTAATAATAAGTGTATTATCAATCTTTCTTGGGAACAAGGGGGCATTCTGCATCATGATCTCCACACACTGAAACTGATGGCCTGGCTAATCCATTAACCTTTACAGCATGGGTTCTCAAACTAAGGCCCGTGGGCCAGATCCGGCCCGCCATGACCTTTTAACCAGCCCACCCCACAGATTTTTCACTCTCTGGGCGCGCAGGCATGCGGCTTGCTCATGAAGAGGACATTTTGGACTCGCTCGGAGAAAACGATCTCCTTGTGAGCAAGTTGGCACCTCGCCCCATACCCCCCCCGTCCCCGCCTCGCGCCCTTGCGCCCCACCCCGGCCCACACCCTCCCGCCAGCACCGCCTTGGCGGCCCACGCCCACCACTGACACCTATCAACTGGCCCCCTGTTGAAAAAGTTTGAGGACCCCTGCTCTACAGCATCTCTTTTTGATCCAGAAATCCACTTCATTTTACAGTCAGCTCTGTCCAAATACAAGAAAATTGTACACATCTAAATGGAAAAGGTTTGAAATCTATGGTGCTAACCATAACTTTGTGGCACCCACAATTCAAAATATCCTTCAATTCCTCTTTTCCTTTCAATAGGCAGGACTAAAGCCAATATCTATTAAGGTTTACCTTGCTGCCATTTCGTTTCACAGAAGACAAATAGAGGGATAATCTGTCTTCTCCCATCAATTAATTGTACACAAAGTGTACAAAATTTGAATCATCTGATCCAGTTGATCATTGCAACATCAAGTCTCTCTGTTGTTCTACAAGCCTTGACCAAACCACCGTTTGAGCCACTCGCATCCTCAGATTTAAGACTACTCTCATGGAAAACATCCTTTCTGGTGGCCATCACATTGGCTAGGAGAGCAGGGGGATGCCAGTAGGACCTCAGCGTTTGCCCAAGTGAATGGTCAAAACCATCAAGCTTGCATACCAACTTGCCAACATAGAATGAGCACTCACCCAAATGGGCATTCGACTAGAGCCATCTCGACTTCGACAGCACTGCATGCTGGCATACCTCTGCATGACTTGTACAAAGCTGCTAAATGGGCAGTGCTGGGCACATTTATACCATCCCAACATTAAAGCCAGAAAGGACTGCTCCTTTGGATGCATGGTCCTCTCTGCTGCCCTGCAATAATGACACCTTCCCACCTCCTGGGTAGGGTGAGTTTGCTAGTCACCCATGTGTGTGATGCACAGAGACCACGACAAAGGCAGGTTGATTACCTGTAACTGTTGTTGTTCAAATAATCATCTGTGCATTCACACAACAGCCCTACCAGCCCCACATAGGTGTCGGTGGAACAAATTTGGCTGACTTCTTTCTAACATGTCAGCACTAGTTGGGGAGCGAACCATTGATCTTCCTCTGGAGGGAGGGAGGGAGGGAGGGAAAAGCAATCCAGTACAAATATGGTAATTGATTGTAGGATTTGGTGAGGGGAGAGGAACATCAAAACTCTCATGCTCCATGATATGATGTTCAAGAATAGCTCTGGTCTTGTTTGGTTTATTGGGAAATTGTCCCTTTGTCAAAAATTAACATTGTTTAACTCCAGACAGCTTACTGGCCTTATCAGGAGAGACAAATGTACACAGTTCTTTGATTCAGTCTAGGGTAGAGACTGATGCCTTCCCAACACTCCTTTCTCCCTTGTGGAGAGGACACTGAAAAATACTTCCCTTGGCTCTGCAGCAGCTCTGCTGATTGCTGCAGGAATCTCACAGGGTAGAGTGCTGTCCTGCCTCAGCGGATGCCTTCCTGTGAGGCCAGTGCCAGCTCCTATGGCCCGGAGTCCAGCACCTCTTCCTCAGGCTTGAGATGCCCAACCAGCCCCCACTTTCACCTCCTCATCTGTGGCTAGCAGCCGCACTGCTGGCCTGCCTCTGCCTATGCTCTATTCCACGTTTGGCCCATGCCTCTCACCCCCACCCCAAGCCTTCTCCTGGTCTCCTTTTATCCTCCTTTCCCCATGCCATCCTTTCTCCGCCCTCCCCCAGGTGTTCCTCATTGAGTTCAATCTGTGCTGCTGCGAGGTGTTGGCATATGCCGGCTGCAGCCAGTGGCTTTCCCTCTGAAACCTCCGCCTAGGCAAGGACACTCCTCCATCCCCTCTGTGTTGTTTGTTTTTTCCTTATCTGCTCTCTGGATGCTGAGTGCGAAGCAGCCCTGACAACCTCTCACAATGGTATTAAGAGTTAAGGTCTGGAGGGGGTTAGAGATATTAGTGGCTTTTCCACTTTCATAGGGGTCCTGTACCCCTAACCCTTGTGAATGTGGAGGGGCAACTACTTAGATTTCTTCAACTGAAGCAGTGGGGCTTAGTGAGTATACTTATCGAAAAGACTTTTTAAATTGGTTGTATACAGGTAGTCCCTGGATTACAGATGAGTTGCATTCCTAAGAACATCCTTAAGTCAACTTTAAGTTGGATCACATGAGTAAGCCAAAAACTTGTCTTAGCATATGTATATATTTTATCTTTCTATGCATATAAAACACTTAAACACTCCCATATTCACTAAAACATCTTAAACACAATAAAGCATTGTAGTAATGATAATACAGTAATAATAAAGTAACTACAGGTGCTGGAGAGAGAGAAAATCTGTATGCATTTGTGTATGTGGGTAGCTATATGAAGTATTGTAAAAAGCAAATAAAAGAAACAGTTCTTAAAATAATTTAGAACATTCTTGAGGCAACAGTAGCCTAACATTAACAGATGTTGATAGAGATGGACCCGGTGCTGGCGAGTCAGGGTTTGATAGTGTTCCTGGAGCGGGGAGTACCACTGGAGTTACTTTCTTTAAGTAAGCATCGAGGGTTGTTTCTACAACTTTTTTCCTTTTCTCAAATGGCCTTGTAGAAATTGAGGGCCTGTTACAAGGGCAAATGCTAAAGAAACACCAAAGGGGAACAATGTGTCTTACACATGCCCTGAAACACACTGGCTTGGATACACTTGAGCCAACGCCCAGAACGAAAAGTCATAAAAACTGTATCTCTAGGGAACTAGGCTGCTACAGATGATATGTTGCTAAACACGTCATGTAGTCCTCTAGATATTCATGTAGGGTTTATGGCAGCCCACATGTTCTTAAGTACAGGTTGCTTATAACCTGATGAAATTCTGGAAAGCAACCATGAAAAAATATCTCTGTACTCATGAATGGTCAGTGAAAGTGGCATGTAGTGAGAATAAACTGGGAAAGATGGGAATTTTTAATGAACTATGTTGTTGGAGCACTGCTCATGGAAGGATAGTTGTCAGGTCTTACAACAACAGTGAGATATGCTTCTGAAGTTCAGCAGAACAACACTAAAGAGGTAAAGCTGCAGTTCTATGCATGCAACTAACTAAGAGTAAAATCCATTTAATAGAGTGGAACTTCGAAACAGAAATGCATAGTGTTGCACTGTAAGAACTTATATTAGTTCCTGAGATTTTCTTTTCCTCTTTAATGCTTTAGATAAATAATAAGGCAGCAGAACTGCCTGGAAATGCCTATCAAAGGGGAATGTATGTATTTATTAAGTAAAGCCGCATTTTATATCATTCTACTTATATCTGGTAGTAGATCCTGTCCTCGCTAGAATGGCATCACATTGTGGTGCTGTGCAGCACATGGGTACAGCTTTCAGATATGGTACTCTAGAGAATTTGCTTGTCTAGAGGGAGCTGTAGAGTTAAAGAAAAATTCCAAAAGCTGAAACGGTGGAGATGAACCGGGCAGTTAAGAGGCATTTGTCTTTTTAATTCGAAGATACTTTAAAGCGTTAGACTAGTTTTGGTTTTTATGTTCTGGATTGTTTGCCCTAAATAAGTAACTGGCATGTTTTCCCTAAATGTCAACATCTCTGGTTTCTGTAGGAACTTATGTGTTGTCAACACTTTTTGTTACAAAACATCTGTGTCCCAGGAATCCAAAGGCAAAGTTCAAGTATGAGATCTACTGCTAAGTGCAGTGACTGAAAAGGGCTTAATTGTTACAAGATTGATAGTCTTGCTCCAAAGTATGGCATCCCTACTATATCCTGTTAGGTGTGGCACATTAAAAAATCTATTTTTGGATGGTCAAACTAGTATAGAAAATTAGATTCAGCTGTCTTTGTTTTAGAAGTACTTGCTGAATGGAGGAGAAAGTTGTTGGGGTGGAAACTTACTGTGGTGATATGTGTTTTTTCCCTCCCTTCCATGAGTGCTATCTCCTGAGTGCTTAGACAGTTAAAACAAAGATGATTGAGAAAGTTGGGACTCTGTACACTGCCCTAAACAAGTTTGTGGGTGCGTGTTGTCTCCAACTTGAGCGTGATATAATTAAATCATTTAATTAAAAGTCAAGTTGATGTAGGACTATGTACACGTTTGAGTTGTAGGGAATGCTTCATAATTTCTGCAGAATGAAGAATGTCAGTTCACTTGTAGATCAATCTGTGCTTGTCCGATAATTCTCTTTCTATCTTCACACCACATACTTAAACCAAATTTATTACTACAGGATAGCTTTAAAGGAGGATTAGGAAGATCAATGACTTGCCATTATGGCTAATACTATGCCCAATATTGGAGGCAGTATGCTTTTCAGTACCGGTTGTTGGGAAACATGAGCTGTAGCTGCAGGGCAACATACGTACTAACCCCCACCCCCCTGCCCCTGCAACAGATTATAAGAATCAGATTAAAATGAATTAGAAAGTATTATTTTAAAAGCAAGTAAAGTTCAGCAATTAAGAGATAAAATTTAAAAATGTAGCCAGGTACTTAGTAAAATTGAAGCGTATAGTATCTTAAAAGACAGAATAAAAAGGTCCCTGAGTAATGGAAAAAATCAACAAAATAGGTTCCAGGCAGATCTCTCAATAGAAGGCATTCCACAGTTTGGGCGTCACTGCAGAAAAGTCTGTTCATGAATAACTGCGATCATGTGAACAAGACTTCAGATGACATTTTCAGGGCATGGGTGAGAATACATTGGAAGATGTGTTCCTTTAGATCCTACGGTCCCCAAGCTGTGAAGAGAATTGTAGGCCAAAACCAACACCTTGAATAGGGCACAGAAATGAACTGAGACCCAGGGAAGATATTGTGATGCTGGCATAATAGGATCATAACTCCTCAGTTCCCCAGGCACCATATTTTATACTAACTGAAATTTCCAAATTGTTTCCAAGCCCGACATACATCCCATTACAGTAATCTAGCCAGGATGTTTATCAAGGCATGGATCACAAACTAGACTGTCACCTACATGACATTTCGACCAATTAGGGTTGTAGTTGGCATACCAGACTAAGCTGGTAAAAGGAGCTCTGAGTACAAAAGGCTCTTTTGCTTTCAGTGACAAAATTGGATCTGCAAGCACCACCATGCTGCAGACTTGATAACCTAGCAGTCAAGTGACTCATCATGTAAGGTGGTTTACATAATTCTCTCATATCCTAACAACAACAGCCTTGTGAGGTGGGTTGGACTCAAAGTCTGTGGCTGGCCCAGAATCAGTGAGCTCCATGGCTGAGTGGGGACTAGAACCCAGGTGGCCTGAGTCCCAGTCCTGCACTCTTAACCATTATATCAACCACACTAACTTTCAAAATATGCACATAACAGCTATTTATTTGTTCAGTACTAAAATGGTGTTCTGTGGATTCACATTTCTAAAAGAAGTTGTATTACACCTAATTAAACTGCATAAAGTTTAGAAGGTTAAGTCACTTTTGGCTCAATAAGCTACAGAGGAAAATTGGATGGCATGGTAAGTATACATTCTGGTTCTAAAAATTAAGTATTCTTTGCTTGGAAACAAACTACAGGGACTTGTAAAAGTCTGCCTGAAAACTGTAAAGGTGTAAAAAGGATACAAGTTTAACTAATATGAAAAGGTTGCTAGAGATTTCCAGCCTCTGTCATTGATGGAGGCATAATACTAAATGACTAGGAAAATAATATTGGGTGTTGCAGCAGGTTTGTTGATTTTAATTTCCTGGAATGAAACTGAAAAATAATTACCACCAACAGTTGTACAATCCAGCTATACGTGGATTCAAACTGTCTCTCAGCCAGCTAGAGGAAACCCAGGTGTGGAAGTTCCACACTTTACAAAGAAACAGCAATTATTTTTGTGAAGACTGATACATATGTTTCTAGAACAAGGGACTCTCAGCTTTTATATTACTCCACTGTTGATATGTGTATTCCTTTTGGTAATGTGTACTGAAGAAATAAGCATGTGGGCACTGTGTCAGATCCTTATTTGTAGTCTTCTCCCTTTTAAGCTGTAACATAGCTCACTTCTTACATTGATTTATTGGAATTGAGTATGGCACCTAGAATGCTGCTGTTCAGTCTGACTGCAAGATGTGACTTGGGGAGTAAAGTGTGAATAAAGTTCATAACTGAGAGATTGAACTTTATATAACAGCATCCTGTCAGAGTGCAAATACAACATTTAAATAGGTAATAATACTTGAGAACGTAATTGAAAATAAACAATTGCTGCACAATTGGATGGCAACATATAAACTATAGTCAAGGGCAATTTAATAAGCTTTTAATATGTATAAAATAATCCAGAGATACTTTTCCTTTGCCTCTTAACACCCAACTTTGGATGAATTGAAAAAATGCTTCACAGAGGAACACTCTTGCAAAACCTGCTCCATGTTTCTGTGAACCTTTATCTGGGACCCTGTTGGCACTACTCATTTGGCACCAGTTCCTCCTCTAACCATACTGTTTCCTCATTCCATTCATACTCTTTTCCATTCTAATGTTTCACCTTCTAAATCATATATAAAATGTGTATGGTATAACAACTCCTTATTGTCAAGAAGAACAATACAAACTTTTGAACATCATTAATTTTCATTTTGAAATGTTTTATAAAACAAACACAGCTTAGAAAACGCACCAGCAAAATTGATTTTAAGCTGAAGTCCATGCAAAAAGAAAATAAAACTCTACAAGTTAGTAGTTTTCTTCTGAATAAATATGCAGAAGGTTTGGCTGCAGTCGCAGAAGTACCCACGTACTTAGGAGTAGGTCCATCAAACACTGGACAACCTTAGCATTGCATTGTAAGAGCCACTTATACAGTTTTATCTGTTGGCAGACCTTTTTTTGGACTGCATTCCTGAAATGCTCCTCCACCTGAAACACTTGACTACAATGAGGAAAGTGACATTTGAAGGAAAAGATTTCCTCCTGGTCTCCTTCCTGACAAGCTGTCTTTTTGCAGTGAGGTTTTCCCTTTTTCTTTGTCTTCAGGTTTTGTAGTGGCAGGGACATTCCATCCCCCCCCCCCCCATATAATTGCATTTCTGTGCCCTTTTACATTTTCAGGTTGTTGGCTTTTTGAGGGGGGATAACTATTTTCACTAAAAATGGTGCTCAAGAGGCTAGCAGTAATAAAGACTAAAACCAAAATATCAATCAAACATGAAAAGAAATCAAACAAAGCACAAAAGCTATCTGCCTATTCCTATCCACTGGCGCTGGTGATCAAAAGCAGAAAACAGTTAATCAGTTATTTCTGAATAGATATGTAGCTGCCTGTTCATGGTAAGGCAACAAAGAAGGACCCCGCCTGGTCTCCCTTGACAGGATCTTGCAGAATGTTGGAGCAGCCACTGAGAAGTTCTCATGTCTCCTCAAAACATAGAACCAAGGGTCATACCTTTAGATCTTAACAACCAGGCAGGCTCATATGGGAGAATTCAATATTTCAAACTGATCCCAAATCATGTAAGGCATTATAAGTCATGACCAGCACTGTGACCAGAAATGCACCATAACCCAGTGAAGCTGTTGCAGCTGGTGAGTTATATGTTCCCTGTCTGCTGGCTCTGATTTAATCTGCAGTGAAAAAACAAAAGAATCACTTCTGGTAAGTTCCTTTTATTTATCTTACAAAATACCTGTGCTTGGAAGCAAAAGAAGGGCCTTGGTAAACTTATGCCCTGGTTGAAAGCTAGAACTGCCAGCCACATAACTAAAGTTAAAACATATTTGTTTTAATGTTCTATTTTAAATACATGTTGAGTGCCATTTTTAGTGGAAAGGTGGGGTTTTAATTTAAATGATAATAATGCATTTCTCCTTTTTTCCCCTCCTGGTATTCTCCTTTATATAAAGTTTATGGAGGAAGTTCAGCAATTTTCAACAGATTTGCTTTAAATAACTTTCCCTCAAAGTCAGAAATGGGCTAAAAGCATTTGGAGCAGCCTGATTTTCTTCAGAGGAGCATTGCTTCAGACAAAGCACAAATCTCACCAAAGTGCCCTGCCTCATTTCTGGATTGGGGCTTTTAACATCACAGCAACTGTGAGGTACATTCAGGATTGAAAGGTAGCATCTTGCCCAAAGCAATCTGTTGAAAAATGGCCAAGGAGGGGCCTAACAAGGCAGAAAAATGTATTGAGCTGACCCTGAAAGTTACATAAACATTTACAATCTGAATCAGCCTTCCCCAACCGTCCAGTCGATGGCTCTGGTGGATGGGAATTCTGGGAGTTGCATCCAAATGCCACCAGGTTGGAGAAGCTGATCCAAAGGATATGGTACAAAGTAGGATTTTGACTCACCAAGCATCTTGTCTCATGGTTTAATTCCAAATTCTTCTAGGTTTAGGATGCTTTTGGTGCATTCTATTTGGAGAATAACATAGAATAGCAAAGATAGGGGAATAGAAAATTATGAGGCACCTAGGTCCAAATATAACAGCTACTGGAAATATACTCTGTTGTGAACCATCTTTATGCCTGTTTGGTATAGATGGGATAGAGATGTTAGAAAGAAAGAAAGAAAGAAAGAAAGAAAGAAAGAAAGAAAGAAAGATGGATATTATCAATTCAAACTCAGCAAAACTACAGAAAGTCATGGTGCCTGCTCATGACAATTGAGTGTGTGTTTTTTTAAAGCAAATTATGAGCACATCTGAGGGACACAAGCTTAGGGAAAGCTTTGTACTTTGACATTTGGTTCACAAACAGGAAACCCTTAGAAAGACACAAAGTACAGGAAAATATTATGAAGATCAAATAGGCACATAATAGTTTTAGCTTGAAATAGATGCATGAAATGAATGCTGTATGTTTTCAGGAGTCTGTTGAAGTAATGAATTTTAGAGTAGGTAAGTGACAAAATGGGATAAGGATGGTATTGTTTTCATAATACCTTTGGATAGATATCTAACATTTATTTAATATTTTACTTTGCCTTTTGACCCAGATAAGACCCTGATGCAGCTTACAATTGCTAAAAGCAAACAATAACATATTTGTATTTGTTAACTTATTTTTTGTAGCAGAAACTAAAATTCTCACCAATTCTTCATCTGTCAAGTTTCTGATCAGTTGAACTTTTCTCCCTCATGGGAAATATTTAAGGCTCAATTCTGTGCATATGTGGGTTTTTTTATAAGTTCTATAATGCACAAGCACTGTTAGCCAGTCATGGGAAATGCTGGTAGTTGTAGGACTTTCCTATGTCTAAACACACATCAAATTGTGCCTTAAATTCCTATGATGGAGGAAAGCTCAACTGATTAGAAACTCAGATTAATAATACGGGGGAGTTACAGTGGGACAAGCAAATGAAGGTGGTGTTTTTTAAGCCATGTGCTACATTGTTTTTGCCACAAACAAATATCAAGAAAGAAAAAGATAAACCTGTTAAATTGCAGTGGTAATAGGAATTGAGTTCTTATTACTGGTGAAGAATCTTATATTGTAAAATGCATAACTGCATCACATATTGTCATGGTTTTAAAAATTACTTCTGGATACTTTTGTGTACAACAGTAGCAATAATTATACCAAAAACCAGGACATAGTTGGCTTTATTTTGATTTGGGTAAGTGTACATTTGTTATAAACAAAAAACCTGGGAAACAATCTGGGACACATAGTGCTTTCTATCATAATATTT